GTGGCAGCAGCAGGGACAGCTTAGACAGCAACACTGCTGAAATCAAGACCCGCTTGACTTCCTCATTTGTGCTCTCAGATTGCATTTCCCTTATTTTGAGACAGAGATCTGAAGCAGGCCCTGGATCAGAGCTGAAGATCATATTCAGAACAAAAACCCCTGGAATTTGGTCGATGCAAAAGTAATATGAGAGAGAACACATCTTTTATGATGGCCATTCAGGATTTCAAAGTTATGTCCAAGTATCTTTTCTGGGTAGCTGCAGTGAATTTGGTGTCTGTAGGTACACGTAACGGTTTACCTTGCACTTAACTGAGCTAAAAACAAAGAAAAACATCTGGAGATCAGCCTTCTAGAGCAGCCAGCCTTGCTCCAATTTTACAGTTGGTATCTCAATAAAAAGGTCTTAGCAGACCTGTTACTGCCTCAGGTCTGTTCAAAGAATGAAGCCCCTGTTTAGGACGCTCAGCAGATCTAAAAAGCAATTCTTTGGTGCTAAGTGAAGAAACACTGGGAGAACACTCAGCCTTCTAAGAAACTGCCTACCACAGGTCCTTTGTTCAAAATCCGAGTTAAAATTTTCCAGGTACTGTACACACAAAGCTTCTCAAGCTTGGGGTTCCACACTATGTTGTGTTGCTAAATTCATTGGAGACTGAAATATCTGTAACCACCTCTCTATGAAGAAAGAACAGAAACACTTCAGTTTTGAGTGCCGCTTTGCTAGAAAAGCTTCTGCTTTTAAGATGAGAGTCACTGTCCACTTACATCCAAAGCAGCTATTTTTGTAACTTCTGAACAGTACTTTCGGAACAACAACTCTGAAATTGATTTCCTAATCCATGGCTAGGAACTGCCAGCAGTGCAGACATATAAACAATGAAGGAATTTGATACAAACTGCGCTTCTGCAGGCTCCATGCTAATCATCTGATCCTAAGGGATTAAAAGTCTAGAGTAGCACTAACAGATATTCAAAGTTACAAAACAGGCTCATGTCTATGACACTTTGTAAATATCTTCCCTTAAGGTCATTTTTCCCCTACAGAATTCTTCAAACACAAGTTTCTCTAAAAGGAAGAGTATCCTGCACATGTAATGAACAAAGCATGGGATAAAGAGTGAACAATAAATTGCCAGAGACAGCATGTGCAAGACAATTTCATCTAAGTGCCTTGTTCCCCACTGTTGTCAATTTTATACCTTAAATCCTCTGCAGGTTATTTCAGATACAGCCAACTTTTTTTTAAGTGTTCTTTGACACCAGAAAGGTTTCGAGGCTCAAGGAATATTGAAAAATGCTTCTAGAACGCATTGTGCTTCAGCACATTTGATGAAATAAACAACAGTACTCAATGAGTCTCAAATTCCCTTAAAAAGCTCATAAGCAACCATAACAAACTTGCTTTTCTATTAAACCACAGGAATAACACCAGAAGGGGTGAGGGAAGGAATCAGCCACTAAAACAAAACGCAGTGGGATACTAGAACAAGTGTTGCAAAACACTGCACTTTCCTAGCACTGGTTCTTCTGAGAACTTCTGTCCAAGCAGCCCAGCCAAAGAAGAACTGCAGTCTTACCTAAACTTATTACCCGTGTACAGAGCTGGGCAGTGCAAATGAAAATCCAAGCAGAGAAACTATAACCAATTACTTTAAAATGTTAGCCAAGAAGAAGATCAGCAACAACTTTAACAAAATAAATTCAAACCATATGAAGAGAAGGCTCCTTTCATTGACAAGGGGAAAAGAACGGAAGCCCGCTGGAAAACTAAGGCTGCAGAGGAACCCGCAAAACCCAGCTGCACAATGAACATTGCATCCCGCATCAAATTCACTTCAGTAATTTAAACAGTTGCTTACAGTAGTGTTTCAGTAAGTAATTCAATTAAATATAGTAGTAGTTGAATACATGAGACACTCCAAGAGGTGGCCAAGTCAAAAATACATTTTTAAAAATAGCACATTAGTTTCATGCTGACTTCTTTATCTTTAAACTGCTAATTACTGCCAGACAATAGCTTATATAACAGAAAACATGCAATATCTCATTTTGTAATAACTACACAATCACAAAACACATTTTAAAGGAAGCTGCATTATCAAATCTGCAGAACTATTTTAGCATAGGGTTTTACTTTTCCAGCCAACTGGCTCCTTACAGGTACCAGAATAATGTGACCTGCGATGCAGGGGTTCAAAAAACTTCAGCGTGCAATTTTATTTTTTTGTTAACTCTTATATGATGCAAGTATTTCTATAGATATTTGACTATTTCAGGTATTTAAAAATCTCTCCTAGGGGCTGTATTCATGCATTCAGAAGTCTGAAGTGGTCTTTCATAAATATCTTGAACAGTCTAAAGATTTTATACGTTCTTGGATTAACCTACAGTTAATCTTATTAGACAAAGAGCCAAGATTTTCAAGAATGAGTGCTAAAGCTATAACACTAAATAAGCCTGGCTCATTTAAAAAGCAAGCCTGAAATTCTTCCTACTCCTGCACCCATTTTAAAGTCACCAATAAGCACTAGTCAGACTGCAGAAAAACTGTTTCTACCAGCAGGCTTCTGAATATGCATAATGCCAATAAAGCTAATTACATTTCAAAAAATAATAATCTATGTGCAATTAAGATACTGGCAACATTTTAATGCAAAAAATTGTTTAAATATACTAACATCCTAGTCTTGGGATATCCAGTCAAGCTACGCAAAGAGATGCGTTTGTCCCTTGCATACTCCCAAATGTGGAAGTAGGATCAGAAACTGGATCTGGAAGAAAGGGTAAACAGCATGTTAGTTAAATTCACAGAGGATACTATGTTTGGAGATGTTGCAAACATTAGTGAAGACAAATACATAAATGACCTAGAGAGAAAATTAAATTAGTTTGGAAACAAAAATGTCTCATGGAAAGTAACTTCAAACACCCAATGTAGAGGAAACACGGGGATAGGGGAAGAAAAAGTAAAATGAAAGAACCCTAGAAGCAGCAACAGTGGACAGTCAGCCGAATATTTGCATTGAAAAACAGTTTAGAGTTGCAGAGGCATCAAACAGAGCAGGGAAATTAAAGTTCTTTCTACAGTCTTTGAGCCAGTAACAATAGCCATCTCCTTGTACAATTGCCAGGGACTGAAAAATTCCCCTTCACTCCCAGCAAGTGGAAAGCTCTTCTCAATGGCAAATCAAGTTCTGCAGGAGGTAGGGTTTAATTTTTTTTAAGCAAAGTTAACATACGGTTAGCATAAGCCTACGCAGCAGGTTCTTCCAGTACTTCTGCTGTTTGTGGCTTTGTGCAGAACAGGAGGAAGCTAACAAAATGAATCCATTTTTACAGGTGCAACTCAACCTCGTATTGTTCAGATTTGTTCATGTGGTCCTTGAGAAAAGAAACCAAAACAGCTAGTTCAACTACCAGGAAAAAAAAAAAAAGAGAGAGAGAGAGAGAGAGAATAAAAACCCTTTACTTTTGCCTTAAAGTTACTTTATGTATGACATCCACTCATCCATCACGGTAGATGTCCGCACTATCCAGCTTTAAGGGCAAAGGCAGCAGCAGGAAAAAACTAACTCTACCTTTAGAAAGGCTACAAGAGGATCCCCACCCCCAGCTGCCACATAGATACAAAAGCAGAAGTTTAAGTAACCAGAATACACCTTCAAGGGCTGTCAAGCCTTTGTTCTTCAGAAAGACTTCCAGGCACAAACTAAGAACCATTTATTCTGCTTCATCCCCAAATTAACAGAATACGCTAACTTTGCAGGGTTTGTTACTGTCAGTAAGAAGCCTTCACTGAGGCGACCACGTAGATGCTGTATACACAGGACAGTCCACAGATCAAAAAGGAAATGAAAAAAAAAAACCAAACAGAAAACCTTTTCACAGAAGCCATCTTTCTGCCTATCATGCTGCTGAATCTTAGGACAGGCTCCAGCATGAAGGCTTGTGCTTCAGTTTACCCATACCATCATCACATGAAAACAGGAGACTGAAGGCTTTCCCTCCTCCTGACAACCGCTGAGCTATGTGCTTTCTGAAATAAGCCATCCTATGAACATCTACAGCTTCTGCTTGCGGTGTGATGGCAAGAACAAAGAAACAGTTCCTACCAGTCTGCCTCATCTTTGGCAGAAACCATTGAAATATGCAGAACTGGAGATTCAAATGACAGATTCCCAGGCATCCCTCAAACCAAAGGCACATGAAACGCAGCTTTTTAGGGTATTGTAGTACCATTTTGAAGTAGTTCAAACTATAGGGCCAGTACAGAACTGAGAACCACATGATCTCATTGAAGAACTTAATGCATTTAGGGAGATGTGAGGCCTCAGACATGACAAAAATTAATCTTTGCTTTTTCGCAACAGGGAACATTGGCAAAGTATCTATGTAATCTTTTGCTCCTTTTGAAGTATTAGTGCTAGCATGAGGCAAAACTCACGGAGGCAGACTCCAATCAAGTCATGAGCATCCTTCAGCAGTTAACAGCAGGTTTTGCAGCCCTTCCCTTCTCTGCTCCATCACTCATTCGTACCCCTGCACTCCATCAGTTGCACGGGTGCAAGTTCATGAAACCACCTAAGGGACAAGACAAGTGGTTTTGCCCACACACACACTTTTTTTTTTTTTTTTAAGAAGTAACTTCTGCAAGTTCACCTTATATAAGAATGGCTGTTCAATGTTAGGAAAAAGGCTTAACTAGCCCAGAATCCCAATTCCAATAAGGGCAAAGTATAAGTGGCCACACAAGGGGTTGCCTTAAGCAATGCCATCATTGAAAGCGCACCCAGCAAATCCCAGTGTACATCTGCTTAGGAACTAGAAGTGTAGCTACTGCTTAAGACACTGATCAAGAACAGAGCATGCACTTACTCTGATTTATTTGATGTGTAACTGCCTTGGACTCCTTGTAAGTGAAAAACATGGGAGGTGTGTATTACAGTGAAGATGCTGGAGGATCAAGGCCTATTAGAACAGAAAGGAACCAGAGTCAACAATACTATGTGCTGCATACATTTTTGCACAGTGTGCTGCTGAGAACAGACGAGATGTGCAGGGGCAGCCCAGACTTGTGCTCCTGCAGAAGAGACCACTGCACAGATCACAAAGCTCCCATGGAAGGCAAAGGGATCTACTGCTGAATGAGAAAGTAGATGTGTTCTGGGAATGGTTCTTATTCCAGTTCTCTCTCCCTAACACCATGCTGGTCTGACATAACTCTGTTGTGCTCCTTGGTCAACTGTCAGAGGTGCTGGCTGACTCAGCAGATTAATTCAGCACGAGTCCTGAACTGCCCTTAGCTCTACCTGGTTTTTTGCCCTGGCAACTCCTGTTTGGCACAAAGCCCTATGACAATTTTCAACCTTGTCTAAACAAAAAAATCCCTAAACCAGCAGCTGTGATGAATACGCATCCTGACTGGCTGACCACATGGAAGGCCCAGTCCAAACCTGCTTGACTCACACATCTTGTGATCAACCCATGTATTCTCCATGGCAGGGACTGTTTCTCGGTGAAAAGGGAAGATACCGAAACTAAAAGAAGAATGCTTCACAGTGGTCTTGTGTAATGAGGGGTCAGCTATCCTCAGGAGGTTTCTGTAGCTAGAAATCTGCTGCCTCTGCCATTTAGGAAAGCATTGCCCCTAAACACGCTGATTCAGCACTGGCCCATCTCTCCAATTGGCACCATAAACCTAAAGGGGTATGGTATCCTAGCAGGGATTGGTGTCTTTTCCTTAAAGCCCAAATATGCTGACCACCCACATGGGTAAACAGAAACCCTTCCTTTAGGCTAACATTTAAAAGTGTGCTGACTAACCCAAAAGGAGAAGAATTAAGATTACCATTACGTGGTAGGAACCAGAAGCAGGAAGTACCTATAAGAAGGGGATACAAAGATTCAGCCGTTCTGATCTCTGGGAACCACCTCTTGCTGACAGCAACTAGTGATGATCCCAATGTCTCCATTACAACATCAGTTTCTCTGTAATTTTCTGTTAATTTTACAAAGAACAAACACATTGGATAAAAGATTTTTATCTACTCACTGGAGACATACTGCAACTTGAGGCACGTTCACTAGCAAGGCAGCATCAAGAGTAGAACAAGACTTGCCCCACCCACGTGCTTTAAAGGAGGGGGAAAAAAAAAAACCCAACAGCAGTAAAATGCATGTGCATATAAAATGTATGATTGCAAAATATACTGTGTAAATTGTTAATTATGAGAAGCAGAGGAAGAAGACTGAAAATTCCACAACTCACTTATCCCAAGTTACTAGAAGGCAGATTACTGCAAACTGAAGGTTAAGGTTACTGCAAACAGGGAAGTCCGCTCCACAGTGTGTCTTCAATATCCTGAAGCTATGATTACTGATTACCTGGCACTTTAATCCATGATGAATCCACCTCTCCACTGAGAGGGCTGATCCCACGTATCTTCCCCACCCACCCCCGATGCTCACTCATCTTGCATTTGCATGGTAAGAGGACAAGATGCTTCAGGAACCAGTTCCCTGATCCAACCCAGCACATCAACACAAGCGAGGGCACTAGCACAAAGGGGGTGGGATGATCACCCCTCTCTGCAGTATTTTAAATGTACACTAGATTAAAAACTACTGTGTAAGCATGAACTGTGTTTTCACAAGAAAATTGACTTCCACTGCTATGCATCCCTTGGATGTGCGCTCTATTTTCCTGTGGTGGAACCAAGACCTTTCCTGAAGGATCTTCTATATTGGCCAGCATTAAACAACTGTACTCTCCCACACTGCTCATTTAGGTTAAATGATGTAAAATTGTGATTTCTCAGAAATTATCAGAGTTACTGCCCAAACCTGTATCTACTATAAATGCAATGCAAATTCACACAGTTTGGCAAGGTCTGTAGGTAGACTTGCAGTTTCTTCAAAGTCAGGGTGAAATGCTTTGTGACAGTTGCTCCGGCATAACCTCTCCATTATTTAAAAGGAGGAGAAAAAAAAAAAAAAAAAAAAAAAAATCTACTGAATGTTTCCTGTAGCATCTTCTACACACACCAGACGTCAAGTTTAGGCTATATAAACTATAATCAGTAAATTTTAATATTTTCCAATAAAATAGTGATTTTGCACAGAAAATAATTTCATGCCTTTTCAGAAATCTGACCCTCTACAAACTTGCTTACATTACTGTGATGCAATACAGTTAAAAAAATAGATAGCATAACATTTAACTTTATTCTGGAAAAAGAACAACTCATGGCTCAAAAGCCAACAGTGGTTCTATTAAGTATTCTTGACGACCATTTTCTGATGTTGATTTCCTTAAAGAAAGGTTCCCTGATGAATCTATCTAGGCAAATCTCCATGTTGTCCTAACCCTTAACTCATTAACTGAAAAACAATAAGCTTTTAGAATAGCTTTTCCCGGGTGACTTCTATTTGCCTTTCTAAGCTTAAAAAAAAACCAAAAACAACCCCAACCACAGAACCTGCCTGCCTTCTCCCACCAGTCTCTCCCCAAACACTATCCTCAAGTTTCATGCTAGAACTTTAATAAGCAAAGGCTTCAAAAGAACATACTTCCTCTCCCATGAGAAGATAACAGGTGCTTACCCAAAACTCTTTTTCACGTAGAGTGGGAAATATTTTGTCCATTTCCCAAAAATGCTTTAAGATGTATTTGGAAGACTATCAGAGTTTAGTCTGCAGTTCCAGTAACTTAATATGAAATAGCCATGATTTCCCTTCAGACAGGTCTCCAAGTTCCATTATGCCTACCCCCACCCTGCCAAAAAAAAAAAACAAAAAAAAAAACAAAAAAAAAAAACAAAAAAAACCCCAACCACCACACCATTGGAAACATCTATTTAAAGCTATATTTTTATGCAAAATGTATTTTGTTGCTCTGGTTGACCTTCCCTTTTTCTTGTCTCGGGATTTCACAGAAACATCTCTCAACTAAGCTAACTATACCATTTAGTATGGTACTCACAGCCCACTTAATCCAGAGGCAGAACAACCAAAACTGTTTAATTCGTTGTTTTAGATGCACCTTTACATTCCTTCAGTGGATTCAAACAAGGCAAGTAATTATACAGCTATTAAAGTTTATCATCTCCTTCTCTAAAAGCATTCTTTGTGAAGTTTGACCCTCACTTATGCTAAATCTGGATTTTCAAGAGAGACCTAGTTTTAGAGAGACGTTCATTTTCTTTCGCTGGTTCTGAGAGGAAAGACTCTGGGGATATTTCAAGGCTATGATGTCCTGTTAGCTCATATTCAGCTCTATCTTGTCTACCTCCCCTCAGACTGAACTAACAGGGAGGACCTACCCAAGTAAAAGAATGCATTACCAAGGAGATTGAAAGTAAGTCTGTAGACAAGTATTTTGCACATCGTTTGGAAAACGAGAGTAAGCTTATGACCTTCTGTGAGGCCACCTGAAGACAAAGATCATATTCCCAAGACCATCTGACTCATTCAGCTGTAGCCCCCAACCCCACGCCAAGTGTAGGCTGACAGCAGAGAGTTCGTACACTAACAGCCGAAGCCCACTTGCATGCTGGCTGCCATGCTGACAGAAAGAACAAATTTGTCCATGGCAGAGCCTCCCTTGTCACACCTAACCACCGGCTACTCCAGCAGGCACCAGGGCCCCTTTGCAGCCACTGCAAATCGACGGATTCTAGCTCAGAGGCACAGGACATCACTCATATGGATTCATCTACATTCACGGCTTTCATTCTGGCCCACTCACCGCTAAGGTCCCATGCATCCTGCTAATCTAGGACCTCTCACTAAAGCCAAGGCTTACCAAACCTTGACTTCAGGACCCAGCATAGCTGTACCAGCAAAACTATGGGGCAGCAAACCAGTGTTCAGAGCAAGAATTCTTTGATTTTTTTAAAGTTTTGCCACCACCAACAGCATCTCAAAGCTCTGCAATAAATTCAGCACTCTTAACCTGCAAGTCTGCTCTGAAATTAGCTCTGTCTGCTCCTTACAGGCAGAATCATGAAAACCCTCCTAGGCAGCACCATGGCATGCTGAGAGCAAAGATCTATCTGCCTTAAAGATGAGATCAGAGAATCACTCATCTCTTCCCCCAAACTGAATATGAAAGAACTATACCTCTTCCCTCACAGCAACAGAAAGCCCTCCGAGTTTCAGATACTAGAAGGACAGATAGGAAGGAACATCAAGCAGGATTTGGGGTTAGGATGCTGAAATGCCCATGAGCATGATAAGCAGAAGGTGCTGGTTTCTTGGGAACTAGTGTTTTTGCACAGACTTTTTTTTTTAAGTAGGTTTAGTAGTTTTAGTCCTGGAAAAAAAGTTTCCAAAAATAACTGCTTACTTTCTGAAGTTTGTGAGGTGTCATCACAAGTGCATTTAGCTGCTAAAGTTCATCAACATGCCAGTAAGTATAGACCAAAGCAGCTGTGATTGACTTCTCCCTACATGCCTTCCCCTCCACCACCTCCCATTATAT